AAAAAAATTTTTATTTTAAATATGAATAATAATTTTGTAAACAATAAGTGAGGGTGTTGAAAATACTTATGTATTTAAATATGTATTTGTATTTGTATATGTGCATATAAAATGCACTCATAAGCTTATTATACTTTATTTACCAGCTTCGCATAATTGTAATACTTATAAGCATATTCTTGATACATTAAACAGTCAGTCCACTCATAAACCTCAAACCGTCGTGTTCTTTATTCTCTCTCTACAAATAAAACTAAGTTTATGGTTATATCAAAGCGAAATTTTGAGAACAGTGAGTTGCTATCTCTAAATATAAACAACGAAGCACTGGAAAAAGTTAATACATTCAAATACCTAGGAATAAAGATCGATGATAAACTAGTCTTTAAAAAATGTATACTTTACGCAGAGAACCTGCAGATACTTGAGTAGAAGGTATAATACGATGGTATATAAATCTATAATCAAACCTAATTTTTTTATTGTCCAACTGTTTTTTCATAATGAGAGATAGTCAAATTTATAGATTGCAAAGGCAACAGAACAGAGCCATGCGATTCATCATTAGAAAACTTTATGACACACCTATCAGAAACCTGCTTATAAAACGGAAGCAGATAAACGTAACTTGTGTTATAAAGGACTAAAATGCTTTAATGAATTACAAAATGATGTTAAATCTAGCAATATGAATGAATTTAAACAAAAATTTTATAGTTATTGTGGATCGTTCCTATTTTAGTGTTACATGGGCAATCTTCCGGGCTGTAAAACCTTGGCGACTTGGTGGATATAACCCCAACATCGCACCAGTGTTTTTTATTGGAAAAATAAGAAAACAAAAGCAATCAAGTTTTAGTATATCATAAAATTATTGGTGTGCCGTTTTATTGAGATATCTTCTTTTTCAAAAATACAATATTACCTTGGTGGCTGAACGTCCTTGCTCGATAGTGATCAAAATCCAATAGAATGTCAATGATCAAAAAGTCCAACCCTCAAAACGGTTTGAAGAGTTCCGTTTTCAGGGGAAATTGAACGAAAGTGCACTGACAGGAAATGTGCAGCTTTTCTTTTCGTTTTGTTTCACATACGAATGTATGTGTGTGTGCATCTGTTGATTTTACATTAGGGTGGTTACACTCTATAATTCAATTTACGAATTTATTTTAGCATGGAGGCCTAAACTTACCGGCCCTCTTGCGATAAGCTAATACTAGGTTCACATATAAGTAGATTATCCTCATTTTCGAGCTTAACACCTTAATCTGTAATTAGAACAAGAGATTAGCCATATAAAATTCGTCCCTTGTTAATCTGTAATTATAAAATAATCTCAGATTTAACCGATAACTTTTCGGTGTGCGTCCTAGTTTTATCGATTGTTTTTGCGAAAAAGAGGAGGAATTCCAAATGTAAAAGTAAACAAACATGGACGCAAGCAAGGAAAAGAGGTTTGTAAAGGTATTTTTAATAAAATGTTAAGTTAAAATATATTTATATTGCTTGTTATAGCAGAAAAACGTGATCACGGTGGCACAGAGAAGAAACATAACTTTGACTTGAGATGTGAGAATAACAAGCCTAACAAATTTGACAGTTAATGATCTGATATTTGCCTGTGTAAACGGGGTGATTAGAAAACGAGCTTTGATTGTGATAATATTGATATGTGAACATACTTTTAGTCTCAAAGATGATTCAGCCACAATACCTACATTTGCAGTAATTTACATTGTGAATTATGTTCGTGAAAATTAAAAATTTTGCCGCAGACTGGTCTTCGTCCAGGGGTCTGATCCGCCAGTTCTTTGGTCCTCGTTCCAAATTCTAGCTACGGGGAAGAAATGAAAAAAAACGGAAAAAAGGTGTGGTTGATCATTTCATTGCACATAGTTGGAATAATTTGAGGCAGTCGATAGCTGGTGAGGCCGAGTCTACCTCGATGCCTTCTTTGATAAGATTTATGGTTGATATATAGGCTGCGGGCGGAAAGGCCTGGTTTCCGCTCCATAGCGCTTTTAATTTTTTGACGGTGGTCGGAAAGGCCGAGATTCCGATCCACATTGTGGTATTTGCGTATATTAACTTGGGTCGGAAAGCCCAAGTTTTATTTTTTATTTAATTTGTTGGTATTTTCCGAATACTTGTACTTTTGTACCAACATACATATATTACAGTTGGGTGGCGAGTTGTACATACATATATATATATTAGGGTGTCCCTTAAATTTCAAGTTTGATATTTTTTCACGCATACCCTCTTAAAAGTTTTGTAATAACCCTATACTGTCTAGAAAAAAATATCAGTTTGATTCATAAACAATAACCCGTGCCGACTTACGATTGAAGCTTGTCTATACAAGTTGTTCAAGTACTACGCTGTGACTTGTAGCTACCTACATGTTTTATTAAAATTTGTCGTTTCATGCGTGATTTTTGAGATTATTAGTGCCTCATTGTTTAGTGCGTAAACATGTCGGTGGAATTACGGAGTGACAAACAACATATTTTCCTTATCGGATTGCCTAGCTATCAAATAAATGGTGCAAAATTGCCATCTAATCGACAAGTTCTTTCAGTTCTATTTTACAACATTCGTGAGGTTAAACTGACTGTTAGTGAAAGTGCAAATCTTGTGATTAGGGAGTGCATCATATATTGGGAAAAAGCAAGAATTCCAACAAGGGCACTTCCTAACTGTGTGAAGAAACTTGTTGATTTATATCATGTTTGGAGAGAATTTCAAAAAAATTGTAAGAAAACTCATGTTACGTTCAAGAGCCGTGAGCAAAAATTCAAAATTGATCTTGATAACTTGTTTGATATTGCACATGCTGATGCTCTTGAAAAAATTAAAATAGAGGAGGATAAATTATTTTTAATGAAACAGAGAGAACCAGGTCGACCGGGATGCTTAGGTGGTGTAGATAAAAAATTGGCGGAAAAAGAAGAAAGATCCAGACAACGACGATTGGAAGAAGAGGAAAGGATTGTAAGACAAAGACAAACACTAGCTGTCGCATCTACTTCCACCACAAATAACTTAGAAAGTCTAGAAGATTCAGACGAAGAACAGATATTGAATTCTGAACTTAGCTTTTCGGACGTTCCCTGCCATATACAAAGTTCAAAAAGAGGTAGAAAGAATCTCATAACACCTAAACTAGTTGCAGCTTTAGATCGATGCCAGTTAAGCATTAGAGACTCTGTTTACATTCTTAATGCGGTGGTAGAAGCGCTCGGTCTGAGCAGCGATGATTTCCCTATTAACAAATCATCGATTCAGCGAATTCGTACTGAAACTAGAAAATCAAGGGCAGAAGCAATAAAATGTGACTTCAAAGAGATGACTACCGCGAATTGGTCGAACTGTGCTTAATATATTTGGGAGGAGACACAGAGAGAAAATTAAAACTAAGGCCCCCCGGAGCTATGCACCAGGCACGCTGGATGGCGAGAGCGATTTATTCTTTAAAAATATGTTTGCTTCAGTCACAATGCAGAATGACTGCGAATGACAAGACGGCTCTACAAGATGTTTGCTTATTTGTCGTGATAATATACGTTAAACCTTGGCTCCAATGCACAGTGGCGACCAAAGCACCTTACCAAGATTTGCGCTTCTTGAAAATGTTAAAGGAGTACGAAAAAGTTGACGCAACAATTTCTAAAGCTTCTATAAGCAAGTTTAGCCATCACTTGTGGTATTTATGTGAAGAGACAGTCATTCTATCACTGTTTGATGATGAAGTTGATAACCAAACTAAGAAGAAAATGATTGCCAACTTTAACAGGAACAAATTCTCAGATTTAAGCAAACGCTATGACCCGTCGAAGGGAGAACTGACTCAAAAGTTGTTTGGTACGTTTAATTTACTTTTTGTGGCATTTTTAAATTTTTGTTGATTTTTTGTTTGTTATTTGACATTTTCTTTTATTTTCAGACAAAACACTGGATGATTTCGTATCGGAAAAGAGCAAACAATTTTTTTCACGACTGCAGATCGATGACAGTTTTCTAAAGGAAGATGTATCTTCTTGGAGTAATAATGCTGGTTTTCTGGAAGCTAAGAGAAGAATAAGCTATTTAAGTGTTGTAAATGATACTGCTGAAAGGGCTGTTAAATTAATGCAAGATTTTAACGGACTTATCACGGCCGAAGAAGAACAAAAGCAGTTCTTGCTGCGCTGTGTCCAGGAACATAGGAAATTGTATCCGGACTGTAAAAAAAAAACCCTAAAGAGAAGTTATCCTGACTGATTGTTATTACCTTATGTTTTTAATTAAAGATTTATGTGTTTCTAATTTAATTTTTACTTTTATTCACTTAATTTGTTGCATTTAGCATAGCAGATTCAAATATCAGGACAAAACACGTTTTTTACTAAACTTTGAAGCTCGGTCGGCACTAGTTGCAATTATGCTAGAAACATTTAATTTAGTATTTAAATATGTTATAACATTACTAAAAAAATTAGAGGGTATGCATTGCGAAATTTAAAAAAAAAAATTTTTTTGTCATATAAGGGACACCCTAATATATATATATATATATATAAATTTGTTGCTACTACATATATGATTTACATTTTCCTTACTATTTTCGTCATATTTGTACGATTTGATTCCTTTGGGACTAATTCCATGCCCTGCAGTGTATAGTGGCTGAATATTACTATCGTACAATAGGTGAGAGAATGATTATGGTGTGTTTAACTTGGCCTCCCACCCAAAAGAATAAACAATTTCATTATTTCTTCACATGGTGCGGAGCTTCGCTGAATCGGTTCAACCGCAAGTGCTTATGTATGTGCTAAATAAAATGTATAAAAACAACAGCTTATCTAAATTTGTAGTATTGGCAACGGGATTTTTCGTGCTTATTCGTGCTTTTATGAAATTTTACTGAACGCCCATGCACGCACGAGTTCGTGCTGACAGCAAATATTCCGGCCCGTGCCCATCTCTACTTGGTAGTATAACAACTTAATGCTTTATTTTGGTATTACTAATTTGTAGGGCACTTCAAAATTGATTCACTCATGATTTTATTTAAAGGAAATGCATATGTAATAAGCCTTGCATAGTCCCGAGCAAATCTAAGTAATTCGCCGGTATCGAGTTGCGTAGTAGATTTTCAGTTTTCCCGATCGTAGACGCCCTGTAGGGAAAACACGAACTAGTGAACCAGATTACTAGTTCAGTACTAGTTCTTTATCGCCAAAAACGAACCAGTCCGATAGTAACTAGTTCCGCACCAGTCCAAAAGCAGTGAAATGTGGTACTTTCACTAAACTATTTTATTTTAAATTTTAAAAGCAGGGAAGGTAATCATTATGAGTAAAATAATTTAAATCAGCATTTAATCATTATTTTATGAATTATTATTGATATTTATTTTTTCGCTCAAACGTAAATAATTATTATTTGATTTTTATTTTTGGGATTACAAATAATGACTATTTTATAATTTTATTTTTTAGCGCAAAGATTATCATTAATTTTGAGTTTTATTTTTCCACTTAAAAATAATGATAATTTATAAAATTGAAAAGGCCATACAGACGCAACCTACTGAAATTTTGACCTGAAAAGTTTGGGTCTTATTCCTCTTATAAGGGTGCGGCTACCTCTCAAAAGGATACGTCGGTAATCACGCTGGTATAGTTTTTGAGTTGCTTAATAATCATTATACTTAGTGATTCCATAAACAAAGGCCAAAATCCTGAAGGACAATTGAGAAAGGCAATGCAGTTGCAGAAAAAGAGGCATTTAAAAAAAAAGTGTCAAAATAATTACCACTTTCTCACTAAATTTATTTAAAAATGCAAGCCACCAGAGCTACCTTTTTTTTAAGAAAAGACAAATTAAGTTTTTTTATGCAATCCACCACAGCTACCTTAATACAGTCAGTCAATAAAGTTTAGGTACAACGAATTTATTACAATACGTGCAACTATTTTTTAAATATTTTCGTTTTCGGCAATTTTTTATAAAAATATGGTCAATTCTACAACAAAATCCCCAAAAATCAGAGTTCCAAACCTTGTGCAAAATTTAAGAAAATTCTGCAAAATTTCATTAAAATAATTCACTTTCTATTTACGCTCTCTAGAAAAAGTTTTTTAGCCCATTCAATTTTAGTATAATGAAGTGCAAGTGTGAGGAAGCTAGGACTTACCAAACAACAAAAAAAAATTGCTAAATATCAATGGTAAGTCCTAGCTACCTCAAACTTGCACTTTGTTATACTAAAATTGAATGGGCTAATAACTGAGTACTTAACTTTTTTCTAAAGAGTGTAAATTGCAATACTTGGATGGAAATTCGCAGTTTTCTTTAATTTTGCATAAGGTTTGGAACTCTGATTTTTGGGGTTTTTGGTGTAGAATTAACCATATTTTTATAAAAAATTAGGGAAAAATAAAATATTTAAAAAATAGTTGCCGGTATTGTAAAATCTTCGCTGTACCTAAACTTTATTGACTGATTCTTTATCTTATTTAAGTTAAGTACGACAAAAACTTTCATATACATATAAGCTTAAAAGGAACTGAATTTACTTAAAAATCAATATGCTTAAATTTAGACAAGTAAGACAAAGGGAACTAATATTTTTACTTTTAAGCAGAACGCACTTTTGTTTTTTTACATACTACTTAAGTTTAATACTACTACTACTACTAATGTAGTTTATAAATTTTTAATAAATGCGTTTAAACATTTGTGATGGTATTGTCTTTCCTTCAACCGATCGTATTTAATATAAAAGGGAAATGTTTCGACAAGCATGATTAGAAATGTAGATCTAAGGTGACGAATTTATAACAGGTTGGGAACTATAAAAAATGGATGCAGATCGAACTAAAGAAAAGGGGATGCAGAACGAACTAGATCTCATCTGTCGAATTTGGAACTGGTTCGGAACTATAGAAAAGGCGATGCAAAACGAAGTAGATCTTATCTGTCGAATTTAGATCTGGTTCGGAACTAGAGCCAAAGGGATGCAACGGGGGACAATTTACACTTCCTAGGACATCGCAATGTTAAATTCGCCAGTCGCTAGCATGCAAAAGAGAATTAACGCGTACTAGTCATGGTTCCAAACACACTAGAACCGAACCAGTTCCGCACTAGTTCGTTTCCCTACAGGGCGATCCTAACCCTGGCTGCGTTGTCCACCAAGAGCGTAAATTGAAATTTACGTTCTTATGTTAGAGATGTGATGAGTCCACACATATGAGTGTTCACAGCCACTCGGCACCGATTTAAAACTTCTAATAAAAGTGCACAACAGCCAAAAAATATGGAAGACAAGCAGTTCAGGCCTACAACTCATTAGTGACTTTGGGGCGATACCGTATGAACGTTGTTCTTATAATATATGTATATGCATATGTTTCCTTTTTTTTTTGAGGATTTTGTTCGGTAGTCCTTGTGTCGCTTTTAGGGAGTGGGGGGAAAAATGAATAAAAATAAAACATAAAATAAAAAAGTAATTATCATCGAAGTTTTAATAAAGTGATCGAAGATTCGACCGGAACAATAATTACTGTTTTGGATGGGTGAGGTGTTTTATACAAAAAGTGATTGAAATGTGCTTATATTTTACCAAGGCAGAATTCATCGAAACGGTATCGAGTACCAAAACTAAAGCATTGTATACCGAGTATATGGACAATTCAGCACATCCCTATTTTAAATTGACACATCCATTGATGTCAATTGCAGCACATATAATAATTTCCTGAATGGCACGAGGCGATATGTTGCGTAATTTTCTCGTAGTATTTTAATTTAATAGTTATGTTCTTTTAGTTTCAGCTCTCGGTGAAAAGATATCGCTACGACAGATATCAGGACGTAGTGAAGAAAATACCCTAGCTTACCATCAGCTGGCGTTCAAAGGGATCTCAACACTTCTTTTTGGTTGTTTGTGTTTCCGACAGGGTAGGAGTATGATGTATTGTGGAACGATTTTCAGTCATCCCTTGTCAAATTTGGTTTGGAGACAAACCGGTTTCGGCGTTGTGCCATCTTCAGTGTCATTTGTCGTTCTGAATAGTTCGTGTTTCCTTCTGCTTTTACGTATTCGTGTTACTATCTGTTTTAACTGTCATTAGGACATGCATACCCATCTAAGTGCGTCAGCTTTTGTTGTTTTGGTTGCTTGTATTCGCCGGCGGGTAGAAATCCGTTATTTTTAATTTCTTGGTTTTCGTGATTGAGTCAGTTTATGTTCCGTTATTTAGCAGCTAGGTGGTTTTAGGTTGCTTGTATGTGCTGGCAGGTAGAAAACCGTTATTTTCATTTTCTTGGTTTCTGCGGCGTGGGTCTGTATCTTCGCGTTGGCGTTTTTTCCAGGGGTTTTTTCGGTTTCTGCGGCGTGGGTCTGTATCTTCGCGTTGGCGTTTTTTCCAGGGGTTTTTTCGGTTTCTGCGGCGTGGGTCTGTATCTTTGCGTTGGCGTTTTTTCCAGGGGTATTTTCATGTTTTCCGTACAGCAACCCAACTATTTGCATCTTATGATTAAAATAAACAACACCACCAACAAACTGGAATACGAGATATACAGGAAGCCCACAGCGAGCGACACAGTAATACATGAAACCTCTAACCACCCACAACCACACAAAAACGCAGCATTTAGACAAATATTAACTAGACTTGAGCGAACCCCATTAACTAAGGAAGCACACAGGAGAGAGCTAGACACAGTATATGCTATTGCCAAAAACTATGGATACAAAAAAGATCTGGTGGACAAAATTAGAAAGGACTCGAAAAGAAAAAGTAGGAACAAGAAAGAAAACAACGATATACACAGCTTGGGCAGTGTTAACTTACACGGGTAAAATGACATACAAACTGGGAAACACGTCGGAAGAATATTGAACAGCAGCACAAACGAATAGGACTCTCTGGATAAGCAGGGTGTATACAACTTAACATGTGAATTCAAGTGTAGTTACATAGGGCAAACTGGCCGTAAGATTGAAACAAGATTCCGCGAACATATAAGATACTACAATAAGAGGACACAAAAACCAAGCGTCACACCAGAATCAAACTTCGCTAATCATAAGTTCGAAAATAAATGTCCACCAATGAAAATGAATAAGGTAGCTAAACTCCTCCACGTACAGCATAAAGGAAGACGTTTGAACATGTTGGAGAACATGGAGATATACAAGCAGAAAACATTTCAAGGGAGAATTGCAAACGAACAAACAAACACCGTATCCAATGTAATATTCGAACCACTCAAAATGCTGTACGGAAAACATGAAAAGACCCCTGGAAAAAACGCCAACGCGAAGAAACTAAGAAAATGAAAATAGCGGATTTCTACCTGACGGCACATACAGGCAACCTAAAGCCACCTACCTGCTAAATAACGGAAACGCCGAAACCGGTTTGTCTCCAAACCAAATTTGACAAGGGATGACGGAAAATCGTTCCACAATAGATCTCACCACTGTTAGACCATTTCTCGTC